TTACTTCTTAGTAAAGAAGTTTATCCATTTTATAAAATACAAACGTTTGATGACTTTAGATTTTATGCACCATATAAATTTTTATTTTGAATACGAGTATGAAACTTGTTTATTAATAAAGTATTTTATATATAGCGATAGCTTTTATCCGGAGTAGCTGGAGCAATATTGATTGACCCCTTGCTCCACTATAATATGAATTAAAAATTACATCATTGTATGACTGATTTGGCAAATAAAATAAATCTAACTAGAAATGATACGTGAAAAGTTATTAAGATGAGCGCCACTGTTCTCATGATCCAGATAACTACAAATGAATAAAAAAGGTCACGAAAATTTGATTCTTCTATATTTTTCGGTTGTAACCACAACCACAATCACAACCAAAACCGTAAATTCGTTTTTATTTTGTCTAATAACTATAACCGGTTTTATATTGCAACCGGGTTACATTCTTCAGTATGCCACCACAACAACCTCGTCAGCATGAATGTGACTTGTTTACGGTTCCTACCGTTGACGTCGAAATCAAATTAGCATTAATAAGAATATTAGTAAGAATAATAATAGGAATAACAATAGGAATAATAAGAAGATTAATAATAACAATAATAATAGGAATAATAATAATAATAATAATAATAACAGCGACGTCAATATGGCGGTGGTAATACCAGTGCTGGCAGGATCAATAGAATTAAACAGTTCCAATGAATAATTAACATATTGACGTCCATTGAAATTGCGTTGGTTGACGATGAAATCGTATTCATCAGGTAGATTTTGACACACTACAAGTCTTTGCTGATGCAAACAAGTAGCTCATTAACTGCTAACTCGGTGGCACTATCATGAATTGAATTCATTTTTGCTTCTTAATTATTGTTTGAAACAATATTGTGATTATTATCAACCTAAACATACATATCCAAAATAATAACAAAATGATTGAAATTATTTATTCTATTTTTTCCAAATCGTGATTATTATTTACCTTTGAATTTAGTTGGAAATAGCATCAATATGGCATCTTAATTGAACCAAGGCGTATATTATAACCATCAGGACGTTCAATAGAATAAAATCAAATGTCAGTATTTTCTTTGAATTGAAATTTCCAATACCCTTCATTTCAATATCAATATTTTTGATGATTCTTCATTCAGAATAATCCTTGATTTGCTATGAAATTCCATATTTCTCAAATTGCACTGAACTTCTTTGATATATTTCCAGGCGATTGCAAAGAATATAGTCCTGATCAATAAAATCTATGATTTTGTATTTCTACACTTCTAAAAGCATGCCTGAAAAAAGTGATATGCTGCATTTTCATAAATTCCGACATATTCATCCTTTCTATAAGCGAAGTTGTACACCGTAAAAAGTTATAATTTTCTTTCGCAAATCAGTGATTAGCTAGCTTAATTTAGTTATCGTTGTTAACAAGGGTTAAAATTACGTGTTTTACTAACTAAATTTAGTATGCATGTTGTCATCGATTCCAATCAAATGCAAATTTATCAACCCATCGACCGAGTTTGATCTTTCTCTTAAAAATAATAGCCGAACTATGATATCATTCAGTGAATAGCATTATTAAAATCAACCAATTAGATCAATTTTCTTAGAAAAATAATGTTCGCCATCGTTATGTCTGAAAAATATGTTAGCGTTAGTTTCTATTTGGGATGTTAACGTTAATGTTAAATAGTTAAGAATTAACAGAGTTTGGCTTGTTATGATAGAAACAGTTCCAATTAACCAGTTTGCAAAACTGGCTCCTCTACCCAAAAATTTGTACATAACGATATTGATATGGGTAAATTGTATCGGTATTAGTGTTTCAAGCCGGCAACAAAATACCAGCGTGACTAAGTTGGCATTTTTTGTTTCGGCTAGCCGGCTCAAGTGACAATCATGTGAATTTCCTTATTTAGAATATATGTATTTGCCATGTTTCCGTAAGTGTCCATCGTGCTGTTTCATCATCATAATTAATAAAGGCAGTTTTAGATTTTTGATTCACTAGAAAAAAACGCGAAAACGCGTGAATGGCTTTTGATTCAACTATCACCGATATCGATACATTGTAATACATAAATTAAATTATAACATATTAATTTGAATCATAAATAGCTTTTCATAATGAAAACGATAAGTTTACTAATTTAGAGAATTTTCAGAGGTTGACTTGCGCCGCATCGAAGAAATTAGCTCGACCGAATCAGCTAGCCGACAATGCGCATAATCGGTATATCGGTATTGCTAAAAAGGAAATTGTATTAATTAACAATGATAGCCTATCGCTATTACTATATATCTATTAAACTCCTTAAATGAGGTTGATTTTTAAAATAAATCAAACTGGTTCTAACGCTAAAGAATGAATGATTTTTAGAAATTTCTTGCCAAAAATCTATAGTTATGTATTATTTCTTTATATTTCTTATATATAAGGATATTTTTTATTTGATTAACTTAGGTTCTTACAATAATTCATCATCTTAGTCGAGGCGCTAATTATTTATCAATGGATCGTAAATATTTCGAATAATAAATGGTACGAGTGAGGGATGAAAACCTACCAGTCAAACTCTAACCCGGGAATTTCCTTCAATGAATGATTTCTTCTTTTTTGGGAATGTGAACAAGGATCTCGTGTTCTTTTACCAATCTTACAATCGAACGCTATGCGATCATTACGTGTCTCTATCATATGACACAAGAAACCCTCCTTAATGTTTTGTTCATTTGTTGGTCATTCGTTATTAAAATGTGCCCAAGTAGTTAAAGATAAATTCATATTTCTACCAATAACCTACTATATCTTCACCACGTTATCATTAGATGATATCGATAGATTTGTGAAACGAAATTAATAAATAGGAATGTGTGAGCAGTGAGTTCTTTCTCGAAAATGGCGAGAAATCTTAATTTTACTGAAATATTTCTTCTGCTGTTTTTGGTAATATCTGGCGTATGTGGAAGAAGTAAGGATTTATACATATCGATATACAAATAATTTAAAATGACAAATTTTTAAACAATTATGTATAGTTTATCGTCGAGCACCACCTTTATGTGTGGGTCATCGCGGATTTCCCTCTAAATATCCCGAAAACACTCTGCTCTCTCTTCGTCAAGCTCTTTTAGTAGGAGCAGATGCTCTAGAATCTGATGTACGTTTAACATCCGATGATCAAGTAATAATGATGCATGATCTGCAATTGGAGACAACCACAAATGGAACGGGATTAATAAATGAACGTAAATGGAATGGATACATTGAATATCTAAAAACGACAAACGGAGGACAATCGATACCTAGATTTCAAGATGTGCTGAAATTATTGATGGAGAAAGAGAATCGAGATGTCTTTGTGTTAGTTGATATCAAGGTATATAGTATAATCGAATCGTTGATATGCGTCGCTATTGATTTTAAAATTTTTTCTTCCGTCATAAATTTCAAATAGGATGATAATCCAATTGAAATAATCCCTGCACTTGCAAAAATAATCAATTCATATTCTCCATACGATTTTTCATCACAACTTTATTTTGGTCTCTGGAATATCACATTTCTCCCAATCACTCGAGAACTCCTTCCCAACATCCCAATCTCACATATCGGAAGTGATCTTGAAATTGCTCGACGCGACTGGTTTGATAAAATGGAAAATTATAACTTGGAGTTTGAATTTGTAAAAAAAGACAATACAGGTTTCGTGAATGATCTAAAGAAAAAAGGTAGAAGTTTATTTGTTTGGACTGTTAACGATGGAAAAGATATAATCGATGCATTTCAAGGTATTAGAAACATAGATGCAGTATTAACTGATCACGTGGATAAATGCTTGAGGATCAGAAGTAACATGTTTAGTTTTAGGAGAATACGTGTTAAGAACAAGACTGTTGCGCATTCTAGAAATTTCAAAGGGAAATTTGTATAATAAATATGCAATTGCTTTTTTAATTCTTTAAACAAGTACCTTGCGACTTTGTTGATAAAAAAAATTTGCCTGCCGGAAGAGTGAAAAAAAATATTAATTCTTGTACTATCCCCTATCACGACCTCCCCCCTAATCCATTAAAGGTGTTTCACTATTATGCATAACATGACCAAAATCTTCACTTGATGAATGAGCGTTCACGTGATAATGTATGTTATTATCTTCGTTACCACTATTTATACTATTGAGTTGTTGATTTTGATCACCCATTTTGTCATTAGGATTATTAAGATTAATATTATTAGGATTAATATTATTAGGATCATTGTTGTTATTATCATCATTAAGATGATTATTAGAATTGTTATTGTCATTAAGATTATTATAATTATGTTGATTTTCAAAAGTTTGTGTTTTTTGATTTGTTGATGGTGATTGTGATGCTAATGATGCTGTTGATGGAACAGCTCGAATAATTGTTCTTTTTGCTAATTCTAATGCTGATGTTATATGTGAAGATGATGACGATGACGGTGATCGATTATTATTTTGCGATATTGATACAGAGGAAGACTCTCGTCTTAAAGTGCGTGCTGACGCTTGCAAATTACTATTGTTGTTGTTGTTGGTGGTGTCAATATGACTTTGAGATGATTGTTGTTGACCATTAGAGATAATTACACTCTCTAACTGATTTTCATTCTCACTAATCTCATTGGTTTTGAATTGATATGGAGGAGGTAATCCTTCACCACTCGACAAAGCACTACCATAAGTAGGTGGAGGAACTTGCACAACAGATGTTTGAGTCATGGCATTGTACGCGTCTTCATCATCTTGTGTACTACGATTAGATGCGATACGTCGTAATCTATCACGAATACTTGCGAATCGATAGTTTGCAAACGTTGGATAAGAGTTTGAAGTTCCTGTAGAAATATTTGTTGTTGACTGTAGGACTGTAGGATCTAATCGACTACTATTACCATATTCTGAACGAGGAAGATTGATGCGTTCACCATAACAATTCGTGCGAACTAGTATCTTTTATTTTCATGAAAAGATAAAAATATTATAGCATAGATATTAATATAAATATTTCAGAATATATGCTACCACCTCGTCCCCTCCAAATCCAATTAATCTTACCCAATAAACTAAATAAGAAAAACCGACTAGAACATAAATGATGATAATTTGATTAACCGATGGTTTCTTTTTAAACGAATAATTTAGAGGAAGAACTATCACCAACACGGCAAACAATATAAAATATGTTCGAGTGACGTATTTATGAAAGGGTGGATACATGGCCATTATTTTCAAATTTGTAACCTATTATTATAAGTGATACAAGTTTCGTTGATATAGAGAGAGAGTGAGTGAGTGAGTGTGAGAGAGAGTTTGATTGAGCCTGTCGTAAAAAATTAACTTACCTTGCCCCACCACTATTATTACCATCTATGGATCTTGTTTTATTGGCTTGAACTTTTTTGTGTATCAAAATCTGATTAGCTTAAAAATCTTATTCCCGAACGATAATAAAAAAAACGAGTATCTGTGGTTCCAGCACAGAGAGAGAGAGAGAGTATATATGTATTGTGGTCACATGGATAAAAAAAGTTGGAGCTTTTCTAAAAAAAATGATATTCAATTAATTTAGAGCATGAATTGTATCACAAAGATATCGATATGAATTAAGCACAATTCATTGTTTTGCATACGTTTGTTTTTGCTAATTTATCAATTTGAACGCGTAAATTGATACTATCAAGTTGTGTCTTGGCTATATGCATATTAATTATTTTCTATATCCGTATCCTTTATAATATAAGCATCTTGGCAACAATGCAAAATACCCAACTCGTGACAAACGTTTTTTGGTTTTTGCAAATTGCGCATCAGAATTCGTGTATCATCCTACCTACTTTGAGATATGTCGCGATTGATTTCCCAGCTACTATTTTATGATTGAAAATGGCACTTGGGACAACCAGTATACTTGAGAATTTGGTATTCTAATATCAAGTCGTTTAGAAAAAGATTATACAGTTCACTTTTTCCTATACACGAGGAAATCTCGCAGCTTTATGATAATGTATCAAGAAAAATGGCTTTTAATTAGGATAGGAATAAAAACAGTATTAATAATAAATAAACTCTTATTGATGCTATCGTGATAAGGTCACATCTATAACATCATCGCTATATTCTAATTTCTAAATATTTATAAATTCACTCAAGCTCCAACAGATATTATTTATTAATGAAAAACCAACTTTTCAATAGATGCTATATATATATATATAATAAAAGAATAATATTACGTGAAATCATTAATATTGGGGGGGGGGGAGAAGGGAGGGGAGGGAGAAGGTAATAATAAAGTTAGTATCGATGTAATTGAATAGAAAAAAATAAACTGTTTACACTATGTATAGAGGATAGGAAACTACACCACCACTAATTAAAATGTCCATTATGTATGTATATATAATATATATAATACGCTAGTTTCCATGATACTACTAATCCCTGAGCTAAAAGTAGTATTAAATGTTATTCGCGGAACTAATCAAACTAAAGCAAGGAATAATAGAAATATCTAGATACATGATATATTCTTTCATGATAACTAAGTGTCAAATAATCTATCATTATTTAAGGGTATTATTAAGTGAAAGAAAGCTCTATTAAAGAAGTGAAGAGAAAAAAGCAATACTTGCAAGAAAAGGAAGAGCTTTGAGGGTAATAATAAATCTTATATACTAACATAAAATTATTGAAGGGCTTTTTATATGTATGAAAATCTTTGATTGTTAGTCCACAAGTTCTCGTTCAAGGGCTCTCGATTCTAATATAAATGATATAATTAGAGTCTTTATGACAAGATTCATAATGAGACATGTTATTGAAACTTACTAGCTGGAAGCATCTTCTTTATCACCTGGAAGGTGTTGACCAATATGCATAGCGTGTTGTTTAAGGACAGCTACAGCTTCATCGACCTAAAGAAAAAAATAATGTTATAACTAATTTTTAATAGATTATGCTGTTGAAAATGCATCGAAAATAAACTGAACTTCTTCATACCTTGTTACCGAGAGCATCAGGACTTTCGAGTAAATGAAGTAATTCTCCGTTATCCATTTCCAACAACATTCCTGTAATTTTGCCGGCGAGTTCAGGTTGATGAGGAGAAATTTTAAAGAAGAGCTGTTCACCAAGCATTTGTTTCTGTTGTTCTGGTTGGGCTGCGGCCAAAGACGCGGCAGTCAAAGCTGGAGGGTTAGTCGTGGCCGTTTGACCAGGTTGACTATTAGGACCGCTATTTCTAACATTTGCATTGAATTTATAATGGCCTCGACCAACACCTGAAATACTACGTGTATTAGGACTGGTATTTTGCTGTGGTGGTGGTGTTGATTGTTGTTGTGGCGTCGGTGTTGTATTTTGAGGACGAGTTGATTGTTGATTTGCACCTCCCCGGGTGAGACCCGGTTGACGTTGATTTCTACCTCCACGTCCAGCGTTATTATTGTTTTGGATATTTATCGCTGGTGGTACATAGGGAGATTGCTGTGCTGGAGGGAACCATCGACCACGAGGACCAGTAGCTGGGACTATTCCTGGTTGAGGTGAGAATACGACTCCACCTCGTTGATTAGCTGTTGCATAGAAAGCTGGCTGTGGGAACATATTAGGTGGAAGATATCCACTTGGACCTGTTGGAAGGCCAGCTGCAGCCTATAAGAGCGAAGGAGATTAGTATTCATTAATTCATATATATATATACAGTGTGAACCAAATATTGATTTACTGATATCTTACTTGTTGTATACGAAGTTGATTTCTTTGGTTAATTTGTGCCTCCAGTTGTGATTTTCTTACGTCTTTGCGTTGAGCCTCAGCGACATAAATTGGCTTGGTGCCAATCATTCGACCATTCATTTCATTGATAGCCTTTGATGACTCTTCTGTGGTCGTGAAGCATACAAATCCAAATCCTTTCGATTGACCCTTGTCATCTCGCATGACTTTTGCGCTGGTAATAACACCATATACAGAGAACTCTTGGCGCAATTTTTCATCATCAATATCGTCTTCGAGATTTTTAATGTACAAGTTTACGCCTTTATATTTACTCAATTTTTCCAACTTTGCTTGTTCATACTGGCGTCTCAATTCTTCTTCGCGCTCGTGTTTCTTCTGTGCTCGAGCCACGAATAGTTTCTTTCCTTTTAAGTCGGAATCATGCAGATCGTTAACAGCTTGATTGGCTTCTTCGTGATTTTCATAGTTTACAAATCCAAATCCTTTAGAATTGCCGTTTTCATCTGTTGCGATCACAGCCGAAGTAATTTTCCCATAACTTTCAAAGAGTTCCGTGAACTCCTCAAGGGAAACTTCGGTATCAAGGTTTTTAACATATATGTTGGTAAACTTCGCCTTAATCTCTTCGAGTTTAGATTGGCGTTCTTTCTTTGGGATGTGATGACCGACGTAGCTATTTATTTATTAGTCAAAAAACGAAATAATACAGTCACATTCAAGTCGAAAGGTTGGTAACCAACGAGAAAAAAGTTGCATATTATATAAACTTACACTTTCTTATCGTTCAATAACATGCCATTTACATGTTTGATGGCATTTTCAGCAGCTTCCGCTGTTTCGTAATGAACAAATCCATAGCCTTTCGAGGACCCATCTTCCATCGCAACCTTGCAGCTGAGAATGTTTCCGAACGCAGAGAAGGTGTCGTGGAGGGCCTTGTTGTCGATCGTTTTATCGAGATTTTTTATGAAGATGTTGCCGGTACCAGTTTTACGAAGTGCAGGGTCCCTTTGAGACCACATAATCCGACAGGGCTTGTTTTTAATCGATGTATAATTTAAGGTTTCGAGGGCTCTCTCGCCTATTTTGAAGAATCAATCAAATTTCCGATTAAAGTCAGTAAATCGATTGGATAAAAATATAACATTTTTTGATCCAAAACTTCCCCCCCCCCCCCAATTAAAAAATTGTAGGAATAATTTATTTCGAGCGTGAAGGATTAGCAGAAATAGTTTAGAATTCTTTCAATTCATTAATATTTGAAAGATCGGTTAAAATTGATCAAGTATCGTGGTAATTTGGTCTCGATAAAAATTTTTATTTTTGGAATTATGATGAGTCCTCATACTGTGAGCTATGTAAAACGATCGGGCTCTTACTATGTAAGGTAGACATGCTGAAATTATGCTTACCATCAAGTTGATTGTGAAAGTTAACGTAGGCATAGCCAAGTGACCTTCTAGTGACGGCATCGCGACACACACGGATGCTTGCGACAGGGCCAACCATATTAAACATTTCAAAAAGCATAGCCTCAGTTACGGATGGATCCAGCTCACCGACGTAAAGTGAGGCAGAAGCTTGCGGTGCAGCAGTAGGCGCACCGAATTGAGCTTGAGCGGCATGAGCTTGGGCGGCAGCGATTTGTTGTTGTTGTTGCTCGACAGAAAGTTGAGCGCCAGCGGTTGAATTAGAAGGCTGTACAGCCGTTGAGGTAGCGGTAACTGCAGCCGACATTTTAAAATGCGATTAAGATACTGGGAAAATTAGGCCGTAGTCGTTTTAATGAGGTTTTTTTTTGCTTTTAAAAAAAAACTACAAGAAATGAGTGGAGATTTTTTTTATATAGAGTCAATAATATATAATAAAGGGAAAGGTGACAGAAATTTATTTGTTGGTTTTTCGTATTTTTTTTATATTTTTTTAATTGTTGGAACAAGAGTGTTAGGTTTGAGAGAAAGGTGAAAGGACAGAGAACTGACAGAAAGGAAATTGGTATGTGCAAGTTTTTCGCTCTTTAAAATGCAATTGGTTTAATCATTGTTTCCTAATTGGTTGGCTATTTTTGGAGTGAATAAATATTTATGCGCATTGGAATTATGAAATAGTGGGCAGCATTAACTGCGCAGTGAATACACAAAACTTAATGTAGCGCTGTAATACAGGCGAGATTCACTTTTGGGTAGTGATTTTTTATTGGTGTATACGAAAGTAAAGTATCTTCGCAAATCTTTAATAAGTAAATAATAAGTTAGTCAGTGCGCGTTGTCGCTCTCGTTATGTAATTTGAGGGTGAACCAATTAAAATTGATGTTCAATTAATTTCACTGTCACTCCGACTATTATCATTATGATTTTCATCAATATAATAATATAATAATAAATAATATAAGCTCATTGCCGTCATCATCATTAACATTAACAACACATCAAAAATCATGAACCAATTACGCTTCTCAAAACCTTATATATGAAATATATGCGATACTGGCACAGGTTACTCACCTTTCGAAAGCTAGGCAATTTCCCCACCATGGTCCAGTATAACTGGTGTTAATTTCTTCTAAATATTTCCGGCCTCTCTCCTCCATTCCCATACACATGAACAAAAATATTTCTAATGTTACAGGCCGCATTCACATCCTTGTCAAGCAGACCGATCGACAGACTAATACATAGACGCGTTGTGGAATATTAAACCACTTCACAAAGAGAGCAGATCTAAAATGAAAGGTATGTAAGTTATAGAATTCATTGTAAGCTTGGATTTATTTGCTCACCTGGCTTATTCTAAATTCGTTTACCAACTTTGCAACGCATATCCGCTCAATAGGTCTGGAAGCATGACCACGAGAAGAGGAAAAGCACCTGCGCCGAAGGCAACAATGGTATTCGGTTTGTACCAGTCGCGGTTTCTACCCATAATACGTCAACGTAAGATGGACAAGACATTTTGCTTTCAAACATAGTTGACATGACGAAATCTGTTAGCACCGTAATAAGGCATGAACATAATGTTAAAGCATAAATTGCAGATGTCCAACATACTGATTCTTTGAGAAAGTTCGAGAGGTAGGAATGTTGTTGATAATTTGAATATTTGGTACCCAAGGATTAGTCTCATATTCTCCTTTTATTAAAATCTACTCTGGATCATAAAACGACTCGAAAAAAAATAGTTCTTATTTTTATGAAAAAGATTGCTTTGGGTGATAATATTTATGATATTCATTAATAATTGATTATTCCCCATTTGGGAACAGAAATCATCATGTGCAAAGAGACAAATGGTTTGCAACCACAGTTCCAACCGGTTTGGGATATTTAAAAAAACAAGCTTGCACAACCCCTTTATCATCTAAACTGTAAATAGACCGATAATCGTTTGCGACGATACCATAAGCATTCTTATCTTATTTTTTTGTTCATCAAAACACTGACGCCAACTGAATCGGTCTCAACACGACAACAAATCCTTTCGCCATATCTTTGTGTATGAAAACTTTGAGCCCAATTATATCTTGCTGTGTCTCCGAATTGCGACTTTGGTTTTAATCGCACATTTTAATATACAAGATCGATATCGAAGAGTTGTCATTTCGCACATATTGTTATAGTTCGTATGTTCCATTGAAGAATTGTATCTTTTTCCGCAGGCAGTCATAGAATAATTCAATCATAGAAGGTAGACGTAATTTTCCTTCACTTTGATTGGGCTCGTCGCGGCTTATATAGAGGGTATTTCTTGCTCGAGACGCGTGTCGGTTCTCCCACATTTACAATGTTTCTTGGTCGTGTTCTTGACAGCTCTTCTTTGTGATGCTTTGCTGATGCATTGATATTTGAATTATGTCGCTTATTTTTTGGTGTTTGTCCGGCACGTTTATTTTCGTGATGATCCATTGAGGTTTGGTAGCCGCTTCCGTGACCATTGCCATAATTAAAGTTTCCATTGAAGTTCCGGTTGTACTGGAAGTTGGTGTATTTGTTAAACGCCATCCGTATTTACATGATAAAGTTAAGGCAAAATAGACAAAGCTATAAAAACTTGTTCATTGCATAGAACACAGTTTTCTGGCGCGTTTTCGTTTTCAGTAGTCCATTTTGATGAAGTAACATTTATAATTTGTATGAATTATTATTTCGTATTTAGTTAATTGAAAGGAATTACGCTAATTTGAGATATTAATTTCGAATAGCGACTTATATAAATTTCAAAGTAATTTAATTCTTATTATTTCCATTCTTATGTGAATTCGATTACTACCACCATAAACTTTTATTTATTTCATGAGATTATTTGACTCCCTTTGGTTCCATTCATATTATTTCCATTCTTGATGCTTTTGTGAATTCGATTTTATGCCTGGTTTTTGTTTTGCATGCCTCCTGAATTCAAAACTAACAACTTTTATAATTATTAGCGCTAATTTAATTATTTAGATTTGTAGTGTTATCGAACGATTATATGGGGCGACTGAAATTTAGTTGTCGAAGTGAAATGTTTTCCAGTTTATCGTCACTATGATGTTCGGCGTCTAATGCGACCTAAAATATAAATGGCTTTGGACCCAAAAACATTTGTTCACTTTGAAAGCTTGAAACGTCATAATAGATTCTATTTATAATATTTCGTTTCAAATATGTAATTTTTTACTTGATCTGAATTACATTTACGTTCAAGACCAACTCCATTATTCATTATCAAGGAAGATGATAATGATTCTCCAATTTGTCAGATAAATCTTAAATTTTGCTTGAAATGAAAATTAAATATAAAATAATTATTTCTTCCCCATATTGTAGAATGAATAAGTCATCTATACGATAGATGATATATAAATACACACCAGGATCACAATTCAAAGGATTATTTAGCTCGGAAGTCGACATTAGCAATCAAATTGCCATACAAGCTGATTGTAATGTCCATGCAGGTCTCCGTGCCATTTTCAAAACTTTAAATTCAAGTGGGTAGTATATAGAGGAAGTTCTTACCTAATCTCTAGGATATTGAGATTTACCGTACAGCAACCACGTTTAATATAGAATGTATATATATGTTGATATATGTTGTACCTGAGAGATCGATGTTTGCGTCAGATCGCGCCTTAATGCTGGCCAAAAATAATCACGTGAAGCGCGATCTGACGCAAGCATCGATCTTAGGCAACATATTATATATATATAGTTCCGGACAGCAATACTGCCAAAATTTATTGTAGATCTTATACATAATAATTAATTTGACCAATCAGAATTCTTTATTTATTTAAATTATAACTTTTTGAATAAAAAAATCCTCTTACAGAATTATAGTTTTACTAAATCTGTAAGAGGAATTGTTTATATAATTATTGATTATCAAGTTATTAAAATTGGATGGTTTATGCTGTCCGGTACTGTAGCACGGGAAAAATTCTCGGACAGAATTTGTATGTACATCAATCTCTGAAAAATTTACGTGCATCGAGTAAGAAAATTGGTTTACAACCCTTTGAATCAAGTAAAAATTATTACCTCCCCATAATTGAAAATATAATATTAAAGATTCTCTGGCATATTTGCACTAAATTAATTAATTAATAATTCATAAGTATAATGAATGATAAAGGGAGTTGGATACCCGTGTTGATCTATTACAAATACTAATACTAATAAAGAAAATAACAGTAAAAATAATAAATATTATCGTCAAAATACTGTACATTCCAAAAAATCAACAAAGAATCTGGATTATTATTGCTTTTGTACGAAAAAAAGAAATCATTACAGTTTAATCTATTACACTAAATTAAAGAATCGTCGTTATTGTGATTATAATGATGAGGTCCATTATGAGAATGGAAGCCAGGAGGAGAATTAGCAGCAAAAATAAATGTTTCGATTTGTTGTTTACAGACTTTTGGATCTTTTGAGAGGCTAAATAGGGGGTGATTATGTATTACGTTAGTTAAAAATACAGGTATATGATAACTATATATAAAAATAAGCTTACTGCGTCTGTTTGAATTTATATTCATCATTTTCACATAAAAAGTATCTTGGCCTCCAATCAATACCCTCTGCTTCTCTAGATTTGGCTTCATTACGTTGACTATCTTCAATCAAAGTTTTTTCCTCTGTGGCTAGATCCAAATTTCTAGCTATTAGTGCGCTTGTCACTTTAGACCATAATCTAACAACACACAATACTATAATATTAGATGTATGCCTTGAAATCATCTAAAAAGAGAATTTATAATAAAATATCGAACCTCCGGGATTCATTTTCCTCTTGCTCTTCTTCAGGAGCTACAATTTTTGGATGTATTTTTGATTCGTTAACATTAAAGAGAACTTCCTTCACGCCAGTCTAATAATAACAACAATAATTAATAATTATGTAATATATT